TTGGAAAACATACAGTTAGCAGCAGAAAATGTTAACTCCTGGAATAAAGTGCAACCTACTATTTAAATTAGGAATAATTAACACATGTCAATATGAATTGCTTAATTGCAGTTTAAAATTTTGTTTCCTGCATATGATTTACATGTTTACTGTTTTGTATCCTATCATAAAAATAACAATTTTTTTCAGGTTACGTACCACCTTATAATGCTACAGTAGTTCAGAAGTTGTTGGATCAGGGAGCTCTGCTAATGGGGAAGACAAATTTAGATGAGTTTGCTATGGGGTAAGTAAAATTGAAATTTTCTTCTCTTTCGTTTCTTCCATCTATATCTTTAATTTCACTAAATGTAGGTACCTAAAAGTAGTGAGGTGATTTCTTGAGGATTCTAATACCAGTTTCTTAGTCCCTCTGTGAGATTATGTTCGGTTATTTAATAGATATATAGTCATATCTCATTTTGGTTTTAGTTTGCATTTCCCTAATGACTAGTGATGTTAAACACCTTTTCATGTGTTTATTTTGCCATCCAAATATCATCTTCGGTGAATTATCCATTCAGATTTTTTGCCCATTTTCCTAATTGGGTCATCTTATTATAGAGTTGTAAGAGTTCTTTCATATACTCTGGATTCAAGTCATTATCACATAGGTGATTTGCAAATATTTTCTCCAAGTCTCTGGCTTATCTTTTCATTCTTTGAACATGCCTTTCAACGAGTAAAAGCTCTTAATTTTAGGCGGGGCACGGTGGCTCACATCTATAATCCTAGCACTCTGGGAGGCTGAGGTGGGAGGACTGCTTAAGCTTGCACTCAGGAGTTCAAGACCAGCCTGAGCAAGAGTGAGGCCCCATCTCTAGTAAACAAAATAGAAAAATTAGCTGGGTGTTTTGGCATGCACCTGTAGCCCCAGCTACTCTGGAGGCTGAGGGAGGAAGATTTCTTAAGCCCAGGAGTTTTAGGTTGCAGTGAGCTATTATGACACCACTGTACTCTACCCAGGCTGACAGAATGAGACTCTGTCTCAAAAAAAAAAAAAAAAGAAAAAAAAAGACTTACGTTTTGAATAAGGTTTAAGTGGACTTTTAACATTCAAAAAAATGTTTTATCAGCATTTGGATATACAAGTTTGGGCTCAGGAAAGAGTTTAGG